CTTATTAATTCAAAATCATTGTAATGTGGAATCACCATTATTATGATGCAAGCCTTAGCCGATATCCGACAATACACTCATTATTATAATTAACAACCGAACCTTTGACGTTTAAAGCACGTTAAATTTTCATTACCAGGTTTGTATTTTACCCAATGTCCTCTGAAGTAGTTGACAGTTTCGGCAGCAAATATGTCATTTGCCAAGGTGGCTAATGAAATTTTACTGTAAATTTCGGCAGTTTATCATACGTGTCAGAACTTTCAGTTTTCCTTCAAAATTATAGCACTGTAATGCCTCTAGTTTCAATGTTTTGTTTTCTTCAATAAAAATTAAAAAATAAATAGTACAATTAGAATAAATATGGCGTAAAATGAAAAGAACACGAATGTGCTTTCACAGTTGAAGTAATTTCGCTGATTTTTTCAGTGTTTCAAACATAAATTGTTTATAAATTTTTTCTACCGCTGTTTAAAGTAAATTATGAAATCATCTCTCTAAATCAAACATGATCATGATAAATGACTAGTTATAAACTAATGAAATTTACAAGTTTTAATTCTTTTCAGGTCTTTTGATCCAAGATTAAATAATCTGATTTTAATACAGATTTTGTCCTTTGTAAAAACTGCCATGGATCCATCTAATTCGGATCTAGCTTTATAGCGGAAGGTCAGCACTTAGAAAGACAGATAATTTTTCAATTTTTATATAAAAACTACCTTAATAGTCTTATTTTAGATGAGCCAAGGTTATCTTCATCGAGGAAATATTCCGAGTTGGCTGTGCGTCTGCCGGCCCGGCAGGCGGCCAATGCGAAAATACATATAGAAGGCGTGTGAGATTCCGGACGACTCTTACCATTAAACTGCTATCTGTGGATATCTCTGCAACTAACCGAGAGTTAAATAAAGCTAGGCGTCAATATACTTGCATAGTTCTTTACGATAGATGAAAGGGCACCAAATAGCAAAAGATTTCGTGGTAAACCTTCTGTTTTGTACGGTACTGCAATGATCATTATCACTATCATTTTGTAAGCCAACGGAAGATTCTGTTCAGTGTTGGCGTTATTGTTACAATGCCAGGGATTGTAAACTTCTTAAAACTTGTTAAAACACACCCTGGCACAAACACCTTTTTACGAGCAACTGCAAAAGCAAAACGAACAAGCAATGCTGGGTTCGATCTAAAAACACAATCTAACGAATAGGACAAAGTTTGCAATACTATTAATATAGACAACAGACAAATTCCAAATTATTAAATGACATGTAAAACAAAACATTATACAGGGTGACTGCAGATAAATTTCGAAAATTTTCGGAGGTATTTTTACTCAGTATATGCACGAAAACTTCCTTTAACACCTGTCTGAATCTCAAGGGTTCAAAAATAATTTTAGGATTTGGTTTTTCAACTTTGGTCCACTTAATTGTTTATAACATAAAAATTATTGACTGTACAAAAATTAGGTTTGTGTCACCTGAAAGAACGTTAAATTTTTTGTAAGATTTGCTAAATTAATAAAAATTTTTGCACGAAAATTCAGAAAACTAAAAATATTGAAATTTGGATTTTTTTGAAAATGTTTGATTGATAACTGTTAACAACTACGAACTCTTGGAGCTTTGCAATATCCTTCAAAAGTTCCCCATTTAATTATCCTCCAACGGTATGCCCACATTTTTGGACTGAGCTTATTTGAATATTCATTCTGTTGAAAAATTGGTATCCATGAGGGGGTGAACGGTTGGGAATAATTTTGCAGATATTGCCGTTGTGTGAGGTACATTTTTTGGAAAATTGCGTACGCTTAGTCAGTTCTTTATTCGATTAAATCAATTTGCTGGATTGATTAAAAGTTTTAAAAAAATTCTTCTCAACCTTCAACCCCCTCGATTCATCGACAGCAGTTTTTTTTCTTCAACGAAATGCAAATTTTTTTGGGCTTTCAGAAGCCCAATCCAAAAAAGTGACTATATATTTGAATAATTGAATGGGTAACTTGTGAGGAAACTTAGAAACTGCAGGAGTTTGCAGTTATTAACAGTGACCCATCAAACATTTAAAAAAAAATTACAAATTAAGTGTGTGTGAGAGAGAGAGAGAGAGAGAGAGAGAGAGAGAGAGAGAGAGAGAGAGAGAGAGAGAGAGAGAGAGAGAGAGAGAGAGAGAGAGAGTCGGCGAGATGGCATCTTGGCAAAATCTTCGTATTTATTATTTTCATTTAAGTAGTACAAATAAACCATGTTTATTCATTCACGTCAATTATATTTGCTTTGTCACATTATTTCCTTGTTATAGAATCAACAGCTTGTAAATGATTATTTAATTTCAACTTGTAATTTCGTCAGAAAATTATTATTTTTTATATTGTTGAATTTACAATAAACAAAATAGACAAAGAATAAAACAAATCAGTTTTATGTAAAAAAACAGTAACTGCTCCAAAATGTTTACAACGTTATTTTATTCATTTTAAACGATTGAAATATGAAAATGCCGAATCTCTGTATAGTCTAAACACTGAAGAAGTATAATGAAAAATGTCATCATTTAAATTTGTCTTAATAAAAAAAAAGAATTTGACAAAAAATATTTTCCCGCGCAATAATAATAATAAAGCTTTTGTAAAAATATATTTGTTTGACACATTTGACACACCAAGCAATTTTACTTAAATTATATATTTATAATTATAATAAAATAAAACTCATTTTAAGCTGCAATAATACTAATATTATTGTAAATAGCCACTTTAGTGCCAACAGTTATTAAAATACTGGAGCAATAAATTTTTTCATTACCGCCCAGAGCAGGCGGTCGTTCGATACTTCTGCAAGATTTACCGCCCCGGCAGATCTGGCTCAACCCCTTGAATAATTAAACCGTCACTGTACTCAGACGACAAGCTTTTCTTTTCTTTTTTATTGAAATTTTACGATTCTGAAATATAATAACGGAACAATTGTTTTTTTATTTTCTTCTTTGAGGTTTAAGCATTTTTTCCTGAGTCACGCGATCTCTCGGGGTTGGAGATAATCCAAGAAACATTATCCCCCCTATCGAGAATTTTCGGTCCTCCTTTCGTCGAGATGCTATATCAAATAGATTACAAGTTTATTACATTTGACTTAAGATATTGTGCAATCTGAAAAAAAATTTCTCACTCCATAAATTTGTGTATTTGTTTTTTCTCTACACGATCCACCGGCCTATTGGGTTTGAATTTGCACCGGAATTTATTTACCAATAACAATACTAAAAATTTATTATAGATTTTTACGGTTCCTTTCGTTTTATTTGAATATTATTGTTGCTTTAAAAACGCTCAAAATGTAGTAAAAGTGTAAATCGTGTCTTAAAGTTAAGTTCTCTTCCACTTTTTCATACTGTCCATGATATCAGCATTTTAGATAATCAAACAAAGTAAAAAAAAAATAATTACAAAATAAGTTCGTTCTTTTAATAAGACATGTATACTACCTTAACATTATATATACTTAAAACGAAATTATTAAAACTGCTTCTTGGTTAACTCGTAAGTAGATTGCTTTCTTTTTCTTTGCAGATGTCTAAAAGCCTTTGAAATAAAGATGAAAACAATGATCGATAACCACAATCAATCCCAGTTGACCATAAATTGAAAATTACTTATTGTTGAAAAATGAAGTGCATTGAACTATAACTGAAAAGTTGTATAAATGTAAAATAATTAACGGTTTCTTATCGTTTGATTCCTTAATATGTCATCACAGTTGTTTTTCGTTTTTGTTTGTCTTTCACGATCTGCTGGATATGTAAAAACAACTATTTGACTACATTCCATAGCATCAATTACTTCGAAGATATTTCTTATAAATATTGGCAAAAACCTATTCTTTATTATTTTCAAATTCACATGGTGATCAAAAACAGGTTTCTGTCAGCCTACATTTTGAAGTTTAAAGAGTAGACTTATAAGGAAAACTGAAACTGTATATAATTTAAAGCAGACTTTTTAATAATAACAATAGAAGGCAAAATTTTTAAATTGACAGTAGTTTTTCATAAAATACAAATTAAATATCAATCCATTATGTTTAGTGGTCTAATTGACAGTATTGTTTCTTTCAAATAATTATTCTTTTTATGTAAGGTCTTGGTTGAGATGAAACGATAGCTCAAGTGGTCACAGCAGCGGCATATTGAGCCGAAGGTCGTGAGTTCGAATCCCGTTCGTGACAATACCTTTTCACCTCAACCAAGACCTTACATAAAAATAATAATTAATTGATAGAATACAAATTTCTCAATTTATTTATGTAAATATTTTTATTTTCTGTTAAGATTTATGGATTAGTATAATAAAAGAAAAATATTAAAAATATTTAAACATCAAGAATTATGATTTATTTTTGAATTTTTTAATAAATATTTTTTAGTAACTGCCAGGAAATTGAATAAATTTTATGAATTTTTATCAGAAAACTAGGCGTTATTAATTATTTAACAAAATTTTTTAATTATTTATGAGATTTTTAGCAAAGTTTAAAAGTTACTTTTTTATGTGTGTTACTCGTAGCACTCAAAACCTCAATGTTTACTATCAATTTTATCTTCTAGCACGCGTTTAGTTTGGTATGGTAACGAGAAATCAAGATAAAATTTTATATTCAATATTGATTTTAAAAAAGTTTTTAAAAACATTTCACAATGTTAGAAATTCTATTGTTGGAATGGCAGTATAAAGGAAAACATTATTACGACACCAAAATATTTTAAGATTTCCGATTTTCTAATTGTTGCAGACTCACTACAGGAATCGCAGAATACTCCAAATCCGCCGGTAGTATTTCGGTCCCCGAGCCCCGCGGCTTGTTAAACATAGAAGCGAAGGGTCACGGACCCCGGACGTTCAGGTGTCGTTTTCCATCTTGGGACTGTCCTATCTACAAATATTGTTTCCTATGATTAACGGACTTACTTGATTGAGAGATTAACAACCGGTGGCTATACTTGACGGCCGCCTCAACGTTAGTGAATGCGGCTGGGTCATTTGGAGTGGGGTCTTGCCGAGCCGCGAACCTGAGCCAAAAGGTACGGAAATATTGACGTACTACTCAACAAGATGAATATTTCTATCTCTTCAGCACATTAAACATCTCATTTTCAGTTCAAAGTATTTTAAACTGATTAGGGAAAAAGATGATGTTTTAAATTAAATCGTACAACATTTAAACGTTCCCAAAGCTTAGATATACTAAAAAAGATGTTATTTTAGTAAGATGTTTTTATATTATATAATACAGTGCTTATGGTCAGTCTAAATATTATCTCATTCCGTTAAAATTTAAACTGCACAATATAAACTAAATATGCTTAAATTTTGTGTTATTTTTTTATTATAAATTCCAGGCAGCTCCAGACCTAGTTAAGCCCTAGTAAGGTGCGGCGATTTCAAGGATATAAATTGGGTGAGAAAGGGCAATAACTTCCGCCATTTTTGTTAAATTTGCTTTTGATGGACTGCGATAGAAGGGCAAAATTCTGCCAGACCAGTATTACTTTAACACTGTCGATTGTTTTTATTAATTCAGTACAATTATCTTGATTACGACACTCAATGTTTTATTATCTACACTTCCATCACTAGTTACTATCACAAACCTATATAGATCGTCTTTAGTTAGTTTGTTTTTTACTTTTATATTTAATGCACTTTGCCAGCATTCTATTTGTTCTTTGATTTAGTTTACCATTTCATTTAGTGCTTTTTTAGGGTTGTTTGGTAATATATTCATTGGCTTTGTTTTTGAATAATAAAGGTTTTATTGTTTTATTATATTTTTGACAAACACGGAGGATTTGAGCGCATGTATGCTTGTTCTTTTTGTTGCCTTATCTTAACTTCTGATTATTGCCGCATCTTTGTGATTCTTTGTTTTTTGAACTGTGAATATATGTAATTAATAATAAATTATATTTTCGTGATAAAATCACTTCTTTCGATTAATTAATCTTTATGTAAGGTATTGGTTGAAATAAAAATGCCAGTGTCAAGAGCGGGATTCGAACCCACGCTATATACGCCGATGCTCTACCACTTGAGCTATCGTGAATTCGATCCACTCGGGCACCAACTTCCCATATTTTCTAATTTTCCCTCCTTTTTGCCATTTTTAAAAATTGAAAGAAGTTATTTGGTCAACTTCTTTCGGACCACGAAAATATAATCGATTTAACAAGTAAAACGAAGTACATCTTCACTAAAGCTCTCCGTTACCATTTCATTTGTCAACGAGAATCGAATCCTGGTTACACGATATTTGAAAAATGTCAAAAAGGAGGGAAAAATTCGAAAGGTAGGGTGGAGATGGGAAGTTAGTGTCCGAGTGGATCGAAGTCACGATAGCTCAAGTGGTAAAGGAGCGGCGTATTTAGCCGAAGTTCGTGGGTTCGAATCCCACTCGTGACACCGACTTTTTTATTTCAACCTTCAATATTCAACCATTATTTCAACCTTCAATACATTACATAAAGAGTAATAATAACATTTTCTTGGTTACAAACATGATTATTTTTCTTGCTGCTCTAATTGTTATTTATATGCATGTATATATTATAACAGTTTTACGATATTCGTTTAAAATAAATGCATTTTTTGATGTACCTATTAATTATTAATAATACTAGATATCACAAAAGGAAGATGAATTATAATTTGATAGCCTATATATTTCAGATAATGATTCTGTGTTCCCTTGTGAACCGTAATTTATCTTTCTCAGGTCAATTTTGAGTGTATCACCTTTTACAATGTTATAAAATTAAATTAACCTTGTTTAATTATTAAGTATATTTTAGATTGAACAATCAACCCTATTGACATAGTATTTAACAGCGAAGTGTGCAGGAAGGTATTGAAATTGACTGTTGTTTATTCCATATGTTGTGAATAAACAACAGTGCCTATTTTGTTATTTAAGTAGCATTACAGTTAAAATTAACCTGCAAAAAATGAGTGTAATTGCAAGCGGAATGATTTTTTTTTTTTGCTTTGTACGTTATAAATTGGAATCAATTTACGATTCTCACTCCTGATGAACCAGTGATAGCGATATCATCAGTTGCTAGAAACTTTGTCAAAATAACAAGAACATCAAAATGATATTCAGCCCGTCGGATCTCGTTTATATTTGGAATTCGAGCTTGTCACAAAATCAACATCGGGATTGGCATGTTTATTTTTATAAATCGAACTCCCTCAAAGTTTTAGTTTCAAACGAGTATCCACTGAAACCCAAATATGATCCAAACAGCAATAGAACAGTTTAGAGATCAAATTTCTTCCAAGTCTGGTAATAATTTATATTGACAAGTAAATAAAATGTCTATATATTTTGTTTGTCTATTTTTGCGCCAATACTATCTATTTTTTTATGTACTAATTACTACCATCAATTATTTATTTACGTAACATAAAATTTTTAATTGATAAGGTTTGCATTAACTAGTTATGTGTGGCGATTAGTGACCGTTAATCGATAATTATTCTGAAATCGTGAGATGCGGTCTGGTGTGATGTAGGTTTCAGAAAAACATTTATTTTTTCGTGCCAACGTTCCAATCTTTATTGAGATCATCTTCAGGGCTCAAAGTGTTTGTTTTCTGCGTAATTGTGCCATTCTTACGTGTCATGTTGAGAGTGCCCACTCCCACGCCCGAAGAAAATGTTTTTCTGAAACCTACATCACACCAGACGGCATCTCACGATTTCAGAATAATTAACAAGTTAATTTGTTTTTTTCATCATATTTCGATATGCCTATCGTGATCATGCGCATTGGTGAAAACTGATCTTCAGTATAAACAATAACGTTAGTTTATAGTCAATTATTTAAAATGAAATATTTGCACATAATAATGTTGACGAGTTATATTTATTTTTGTAAAATTCGATCTTAAAGATTATTATAATTATCATGTTATAACTAAAGGTCAATAAATTGATACTTTAGTTTAAAAAATAATTATGATTAGTTTTATTACAATTATGCCCACAAGCAGCGATTTGATTTTGTCCTCTTTCTTGCTGGTGGTCATTCCGTTGCAAATTTTCCACCCTCGTAAAATGGCAAGGGTACAATCCTTCCCGAATGAGGGTATCCCAAACTCTCCATTGTGAAACACCAAGGTCTACACATAACGCGTGTGTACTGTTTCGGGATCACCATTAACAGAATGCAAAATTTCCTCATCTACATCAATTCACTGATTACCTTCCCTCGTTTTCGAGTGAAAGAACCAGTTTTCCTCTCTCATACAGTCGTTGGAAAGTGCGATCTGCTGGAACGTCTCGATGTGGAAAACGATCTATGTTTGCTCTCCCTGCAGCAATAGCACTACCGTAAATGAAATGCATATCAGCAAGATGTTCATTAGGATGCCAAGACATTTTAAATCACCAACCTGAGGATGGCTAGATGATAACATAAAGGAAATTGATTGAATCGAACTATAAAGAACTGACACGAAACTCAAAAGCCAGACGGATTTCCTGGAAAATTGAGTGTGCCCCTTCCGAACTGACTGAGCGTACGAAATTTTCCCAAAGTGTACCTCACACAACAGCGTGAATTTGGTAATATCTGCAAAATTATTCCCAACCATCCACCCTCCTTATCGTCACCAATTTTTCAACAAATCGCAAAATTTTTGTGCCTCCCAGAAGGGCAATCAAAAAAATTTTGTATACCGCTAGAAGGTAATGGTATGGGGAACTTTTATAGGAATATGCAAAGCTCCAGAAACTTACAGTTATTAAAAGTTGCCAATCCAACCTTTCAAAAAAATTCCAAATTTCAACATTTTTGTTTTTTCTGAATTTTTCGTGCAGAACTTTTCCAACAATTTCTTACAGCAAATTTAACGTTCTTTCAAGTGGCACAAATCAGATTTTTTACAGTCAGTAATTCTGAAGTATATAAACAATTTGGCGGACCTAAGTCGAAAAAACCCAACACCTTAAATTACTTCTTGACCGTTGAGAATTAGACAGTGGTTTATAATAAGTTATCGACACTTTTCGCCAGTCAACCTGTATATATATACAGTTAGAGAGAGAGAGAGAGAAATAGAGATAGATAGATAGGGAGAGAGAGAGAGAAAGAAAAAAAAAGATTTTTGTCATCTCACGATAAATCCATTTATCTTTGGACCTTTCTCTCCATATGAAAGAGGGTTATACACGTTCAGCTTTAATCTTTGTAAAAAAAGGGAAGGAGGAAAATGAGAAACTGGATGCGTTTTGGTGTATTGCAAGCCGTGGAAAAACGTGAAAGGTATTTGAAAAAATCGCGTCACTCTACCGGCGGATAAAAAGCCGGGAGTCAAGTTCAAATATTAATAGAAGGGTTTCATTTCTCTCCCACGGGCTTTCATCGAAATGTGTACAGGCGTCTTGCATAACGACGAAGACGTGAAATAAATATACGACATTTATTCAGTCAGATAAAAAAAGGAAAGAAAGTAAGAAAAGTAAGAAAAAAGAAAAGTTCTTCTTTCAGAATGCAACTTGTAAAGCAAAGAACATGAATATTCTCAATTATTACAGTGTCAAGGACTGGGAAAATACAACGGTTTTAATATGCAATTTGAACATCGCAGAAACTGGGCTCTTTGGGTGCTTTTTGTTTCCTTGATGAAATGAGTGAACGTTTCATAAATGTTTCATTCATTTTTTTTAATAAAGGTTTAAAACTCGTTTCCTGTTACACTTAATTAAACTTGAATTTAAAAGCAAAAACACCCATTATAAAGAAAATGATGAATGTTAAACTAACTGATGCAAAATACCAAGTTGATCTTTTCTGTTTAGCCAGTTATTAATTTGTACCTTTTGTTTTAAAATAAGCCTGACAATTAAAATATTAAGTGTAAATAATAACGTCCATCTTTCTATTAGGAATATAACTTTTAATTCTGCTTCATCTTTAACATTTAAATTTGCAGTATACAAAAAGCAGACGGTCCATCGAAAGAGGAAATAAGGCGAAACTGACCCGTCTGAACGTTTGAGGCAGGTGGTCTTCTCAATA